GGTTAATATTGTTATGTGTGAATTTGATACTGCCATTTTGATGCTAGCTGGCTGTTTTGCCCATTAGTTTATGCAGATTCTTCATTGTGTTGATGCTCTTTACTGTTTGGTATCTTTTTGTAGTGGCTGGTACTGGTTGTTTCTTTCTATGTGTAGAGCCTCTTTCAGGAGCTCTTATAAAGTAGGCCTGGTGGTGATGAAATCTCTGAGTACTTGTTTGTTCACAAAGGATTTTATTTTTCCTTCACTTATGAAGCTTATTGGCTGGATATGAAATTCTGGGTTGAAAGTTCCTTTCTTTAAGAATGTTGAATATTGGCCCCCACTCTCTTCTGGCTTGTAGGGTTTCTGCTGAGAGATCTGCTGTGAGTCTGATGGGCTTCCCTTTGTGAGTAACCTGATCTCTCTGGCTGTCCTTAGTATTTTCTCCTTCATTTCAACCCTGGTGAATCTGACGATTATGTGCCTTGGGGTTGCTCTTCTTGAGGAAAGTCTTTGTGGTGTTCTCTGTATTTCCTGGACTTGAATATTGGCCTGCCTTGCTAGATTGGGGAAGTTTTCCTGGATAATATCCTGAAGAGTGTTTTCCAGCTTGGATTCATTCTCTTCATCACATTCAGGTACACCTATCAAATGTAGATTAGATCTTTTCACATAGCCCCACATTTCTTTCAGACTTTGTTCATTCCTTTTTACCATTTTTTCTCTAATCTTGCCTTCTAGTAGTATTTTATTGAGTTGATCTTCGACCTCTGATATTGTTTGTTCTGCTTGGCAAATTCAGCTGTGGAAATTTGTGCATGCTTAAGTTCTCGTGTTATGTTTTTCAGCTCCATCAATTCACTTATATTCATTTCTAAGTTGTCCATTCTCATTAGCATTTCATCAAATCTTTTTTCAAGGTTCTTAGTTTCTTTGCATTGGGTTAGAATATGTTTTTTAGCTCACAGAAGTTTCTTATTACCCACCTTCTGAAGCCTGATTTGGAAATTTCATCTCATTCATTCTCCTTCCAGCCTTGTTCCCTTGCTGGTGAGCAGTTGTGATCCCTTGTAGGAGGAAAGGTGTTCCGGTTTTGGTTGTTTTGATCCTTTTTGCGCTGGCTTCTTCCCATCTTTGTGGATTTATCCACCTGTCGTCTTTGTAGTTGCTGACATTAAGGTTGGGTCTCTGAGTGGACGTTCTGTTTGTTGATGATAAAATTATTTCTGTTTCTTAGTTTTCGTTGTAACAGTCTGGTACCTCTGCTGTAGGACTGCTGAGGTCCACTCCAGGCCCTGTTTGCCTGGGGATCACCTGCAGCAGCTGCAGAACAGTAAGGGTTGCTACCAGTTTCTTCTCCTGCTATCTTTGTCCCAGAAGGATAACGCCAAATGTCAGTCTGATCTCTCCTTTATGAGGTGACTCTTTGGATATGACAGGGTCAGGAATGAACAACAGAGCTTACCATGAATTTTCTAAGGTTCTCTGCAAGTCCAGATAATTTGGCAAAAAAAGAAAAGAAAAAAGAAAAGAAAGTGCCCTTCAAGTATTTTTTTCTGTTTAAATTTGCAAACCTGTGGTGAAAAACACTATTGAAAACAAATACAAGAAGCTTCAATTATATTAAGTAAAATGCCTCAGCTTAATTAATTCACTAAGTGACTGGGTGACAATGCGTGTGGCTCAGAGAGCTTTGGGAGGAATCCCATTTATCACTAGGAAGAACTGCCTGCTCCAAGCAGCAAGGCCACATCCTTCCGTACCTTCCCAGCACTGCAGAAGAAGGCATAGTGAGGTCGAAATTCTAAATCACAGATCACACTCTCAGAGATAACATTTATTTGTTGCATGAGGTAGAAAGCTGATTTTGGCTTGAATGGGGGCTGGGGAGTAGGGGGACTACTTGTTTGCATCAAATTCTTTGCACTTCAATTACAAACTAAAGTCATTCTTTTTCAACAAAAGAAACACCTCATAGTTTTCTTGCTTTGCAGAGACAGATCATACCTTGGCAAGTTTTTAATCATTTGGATTCCACATGGCAATTAAGCTACTGAAAGTAAGCCTGAAGATATTTGAAAATCATAAGGCAGTACAATCTTAGGGATTCTTTTATTTTATTCCTCCATTGCCCACTCCTTTACCATATTCTCATCTCCACGCCACCCTCATTCTCTTCTTCCTGCTATAATAATCTATCGTGGCAACTAATGGCAAATATAGATCATTTATGCTTTTTTTCTCATCCACTGGCAATGTATTCCAACTTAGAAATCCAAGGTTGCTTCTTTATGCCACTCAAGTGGAAGAGGAAGGAAGTGAAAGCCCTTCAGCCCCCTCTCACATTTCTGCTGGATTTTATGGTGTGGCAGAGTTTAGACCTTTGTCTAGAGGGTTCTCCCCCTGCTAAGAGGAATAGGAGGGGAAAGTGCCAAGCTGCCCCCAATCACCTGCCCTTCCCAACCATGCAGCCTCTTCTGCATCCTCAAGCCTTCAATCAGGCCCTCCTACCCTGTCTCCACTGCAGACTTGCTTCCAATGTATCCACACACCCATGCTGTGGAGTCCTCATGGGACCACGCTGAGTTCCTTGGACTAATAGCACCACCCTAGGGCCCAGGCAGGTCAGAGAGAGCCATCTCCCTTTTACGTCCCAGAAAACTGCCCAGGCATGGGAAAGGCAGAAGTGGGCCCCATGCCCCCCACCCCAGGGGATGTAGAACAAGTGCTGGGAACCTGCCTTGAGTGCAGGAATTCCCAGAAGCCTCCATGCTGTGGGGTCAGCCCCTCAAGTCCATGACCGCCCCCATGATGGAGTCTCCAGGCCTTGAAAGTTAGGGATTGCAGATACTTTCCCAGCACTTGGGCCTTGCCACTCCTGAATGAAAATCTTACTTGGTGTCTAATAGGGTGTTTCCAGCAAGTTCCCACCCTCTCCTCCCAGCATCTCTGAATACACCATATGGACCACATTGGCCAGAAATCCCTGAAGACAAGGACTTCCCAAACTGGGGATCCCTGGGCACCCCTCGACCACCTAGACTACACCTTCCATGCCACCCAGGCCAGTAGGAGATCCAGACCCTCAGGCCGCAGGCTGGAGAAAGCCCGACCAAGGATATTAGAAGGATAGTGCCTGTGATCCCTGTATTCTGGGAAGCTGAGATAGGAGAATCGCTTGAGGCCAGGAGCTTGAGACTAGCCTGGGCAACACAGTAAGACCTCATATCTTAAAAAAAAAAAAAAAAAAAAAAAAAAAAAGTTTTTTTTTTTGAGACAGAGTCTCACTCTCTGCAGTGGCATGATCTTGGCTCACTGCAAATTCCGTATCCTGGGTTCAGGCAATTCTCCTCCCTCAGCCTCCCAGGTAGCTGGGATTATGGGCATGCACCACTCACCCAGCTAATTTTTGTATTTTTAGTAGAGAAGAGGCTTCACCGTGTTGGTCAGGCTGGTCTCAAACTCCTGGCCTCAGGTGATTTGCTCACTTCAGCCTCCCAAAATGCTGGGATTACAGGTTTTAGCCATCTAGCCAGGCCAAAAATTTTTAATTATCTAGGTGTGGTGACACACACCTGCAGAGGTTTAGGTGGGAGGATCACATTGAGCCCAGGAGTTGGAGGCTGCAGTGAGCTAGGATCACACCACTGCCCTCCAGCCTGGGCAACAGAGCGAGACTGTGCCTCAAAATACAAAATAAAATAAAAATTTGGTCAGGCATGCTGGCTCACACCTGTAATCCCAGCACTTTGGGAGGCCAAAGGGGTGATCACTTGAAGTCAGGAGTTCAAGACCAACAAGGAGAAACTTAGTCTATTCCAAAAATACAAAAATTAGTGGGGTGTGGTGGCAGTGCGCCTATAATCCTGGCCAAGGTGGGCAGATCAGAGGTCAGGAGATCGAAACCATCCTGATCAACACGGTGAAACCCTGTCTCCACTAAAAATACAAAAATTAGCTGGGAGTGGTGGCAAGCACCTGTAATCCCAACTACTCAGGAAGCTAAGGCATAAGAAATCCTTGAACCAGGAGGCAGAGTTTGCAGTGAGCTTACTTTTCTCTTCTGCAATACCATGGAGAATCCCCAAGTGCTCCTGCCAGTAGTGCCCACCCCTGCCGGCCAGGCCAGGACTCGGCCTCCTGCTGCTACCTCCTTAATTAATCTGGGAGAATGGGGGAGAGGCAGAAGGAAGCAAGGACCTCGACTGGGCAAGGGCGGGGAAGGAGGCGTGGGGAGGAGGAGCAGAGGGTGGGACAGGGAGGGGAGCAGAGCAGAGAGGGGGAGGACAGGGAGGCTCTTTCTTTTGTAATCCCAGTAAAATTGCCAGCCATTCACCCAGGCCCCCTAATCCCAGCTCCCCTGCAACACCACTCTCCATTGGCTGCCATTTACATAGGGGAATAGCCCGCCCCGTGCCCCATGCTCCTGTGCGCCCAACCCCCTGCTCGCTACCCCACACCCCTGTGCCTGGGGGTACCTGATGCTGCAGTGGGGAGAGTGCACCACACCCAAGCCTCGGTGCACCCCCGCCTACCCCCATCGTCCCCCCCACTACTGGGAATGCTGCGGGGCACAGGGGGCTGGGGTTGGAGGGTCAAGGTCACCAAGCTATAATGCACGCTGAGGCTCTGAGTGTTCTGGCTGGTCACTCCCGCCTGGCCTGGGTTCTAGTCTAATGCTTCAGCCAGGTACCTCTTCCAGCTTTTGCCCCCCTCCTGCCCCTGAGATGTGCAGGAAGACAGTGACATGCCAAAAGTCACAGCAGAGCCAGCTGGACTCTTGGTTCCACCTTGTCTTATGGGACCTCCCTCTGATAGGCTTTTACCCCTGTTCCCCCCACTCCCAAACCACACACACACACACACACACACACACACACCACAGCAGATCTCCTTCTGAATCAGAGCTCACGCCTCCCACTGGCCCCAAAGCCATAAATCCTAATTCAACACAAGGACCTCACTCCTTCCCCCAAATGGTGCCCTGAGCCCTGAACTAGGCCTTGGCTAGGCTGGGCATGGCAGGGAGGGAGAGATTCACCCCAGGCAGGCCCCCACCACAGGGAGCTTCTGGCTTAGAACGACTGCCAAACATAGATCGAGAATCTCCCAGGTCCTGTCAAACCCACAAGGTCTCCCCACAGCCTCCTGGCAAAACTGCCTTTGCAAATATTATGACAGTGAGTGAAGTCCAGCATGACTGACTCCATCTTGCTTCCAGCCTCTGAGGCTGGCTGTCCTCACTCATTCTGCGGCATAGGCCAAGCTAATGAGAGGAGGAATTTAATTTATAGTTCAACTTTGAAGCAAGGATGATAATAGTTACTCCTTAAACCTAACCTGCTCTTTACTCAGAGACCAAAGCCACCTTTGTAAAACTAATGTAAGGCCATAAGAACCAGGTGCTGTGGCTCATGCCTGTAATCCCAGTACTTTGTGAGGCAAAGGCAAGTGGATCACCTGAGGTCGGCAGTTTGAGACTCACCTGACCAATATGGAGAAACCCATTCTCTACTAAAAATACAAAATTAGCCAAGTGTGGGGGTGCATGCCTGTAATTCTAGCTACTTGGGAGGCTGAGGCAGGAGATTCTCTTGAACCTGGGAAGTGGAGGTTGCAGTGAGCCAAGATCACGCCATTGCACTCCAGTCTGGGCAAAAAGAACAAAATTCCCTCTCAAAAAAAAAAAAAAGGCCATGAGATTAGGATTATGGGAGGGGCCTAGATTCTGCAAAAGCCTAGCATGTTTTTATAATCTCTGACTGCGCAGGAGTCAAGTGACCAGAGATCACAAAGTTTGTGAGTTCCCCTCTTCCGCCTATAGATAGCGTCTCTATTGTGGAAACTGAGATTGTTCTTTGCAGATGTTTTTCAGACTTGAATTCTGGTAACTGACTGACCTGGACCTGTGACTCATGACTTAGCCCATCCTGTGGCCCCCACTCAGAGACAGACTCAGAACATAAGGACTGCTTGCCATACCCTGTGATTTCCTCCTCAACCAATCAGGAGTACCCATTCCCTGGGCCCTTGCTCACCAAATTATCCATAAAAACCCTAGCCTCTGAGTTCTTGGGGAGATTCATTTGAGTAATAATTCCGGCCCTATTGCTTGGCTAGCTCTGCATTAATAAAACTCTCTTGGCTGGGCTCAGTGGCTCATGCTCATAATCCCAGCACTTTGGGAGGTAAAGGTGAGTGGGTCACTTGAGGTCAGGAGTTCAAGAACAGCCTGGCTAACACAGCAAAACCCTGTCACTAAAAATACAGAAATTAGCTGGCATGGTTGTGCATGCCTGTAATCCCAGCTACTCAGGAGGCTAAAGCATGAGAATTGCTGGAACCCAGGAGGTGGTAGAGGTTGCATTGAGCTGAGATTGAGCCACTGCACTCCAGCCTTGGTGACAGAGTGAGATTTGTCTCAAAAATTAGGATCAGTGTGGTGGCTCATGCCTGTAATCCCAACACTTTGGGAGGTTGAGGTGAGTGGCTCACTTGAAGTCAGGAATTCAAGACCAGCCTGGCCAACACGAAATGCTGTCTGTACTAAAAATACAAAAATTAGCCAGGAGTGGTGGCAGGCACGTGTAGTTCCACCTACTCAGGAGGCTGTGGCATAAGAGTCTCTTGAACCCAGGAGGCGGAGGTTGCAGTGAGCCGAGATAACGCTACTGTACTCCAGCCTGGGTGACAGAGTAGGACCCTGTCTCAAAAATAAAAATAAAAAAAAATAAAACTGGGGGGACGATCCAAGATGGCAGTTAAGGAACAGCCCAGGATTGCAGCTCCCAGTGAAAGCGCAGAGGGTGAGTGGACGCCGTGTTTTTATTGCCCACAGACTAGGAAACTCCCGGGCAGAGGTGTTCCACGGTCGCCAGCGCGGCTGTGTCGGCCAGCGTGGCTGTGCCGACCAGCGCCGGCCAGCGCCGCTGCTTTGCCTTGCGTGGCTGCTTTGCCCCGCGCGGCTGCTTTGTCCCGCGCGGCTGCTTTGTTGGCGCCCCGGAGCAGCGGTTCTCCGTACAAAATACACTGGTCTTGGGGCCCTTTAGGCTGGTGATTGGAGCCATGGGAAGTCGGCCATACGCTGGTTCAAAAAGGGGACTGAGCAGAGAACCAGGACAGTAGATTCCAGGGCAAAAAAAAAGAAAAAAAAGCGCCACAAACCTCAGTGCCGCTGTTTAAGCCAGCGCAGTGAGTGGCCGCAGGGGAAAACAAACAGACCCCGGCGCCTCTTCAACAGGCGACTGGAACACCAACTTAAAAAAGGCTCTGAGGCAGGGAGCCAGGCGATCAGGCTCGGCTGGTCCGACCCCCACAAAAGAACAGCAACCAGAAACTCTGGATTGAGAGTTTCACAGCAAGCGCAACTGAACCCGGGACGGTCCAGCTCTGTGGGGGAGGGGTGTCCGCCATTACCGAGGCAGTCCGCCGTTGCCAAGGCAACCCGCCATTGCTGAGGCAGCCCGCCGTTGCCAAGGCAACCCGTCACAGCAGAGACACCGCCCCAACAGAGGCGGGCCACCATCGCCAAAGCAGTTCTAACTACACCCATATAAACAGGACTGCAGGGAAGTTCACTCGGCAGCAGGGCAGAGCCCACAGCAGCTCTGCAAAGCTGCTATAGGCCGACAGTGACTAGGCTGCCTCCTTGCTGGGCTGGGCAGGTCTGAAGGAGAAAAAAAAAAAAAAGAAGGCGGCAGCATAACGGAAACTCATAAATAAAGCCCTAAATCCCTGGGACAGAGCACCTGGGAACAAAAAGCAGTTTATGAGTTCTGCTGCAGCAGACCTAAAAGTACCTGCCCAGCAGCTCTGAATGAACAACAACAGAGATCGCAGCTCACCATTTGAGCTCCTATAAAGAAGAGACCGTCTCCTCAAGCAGCTCCCTGACCCCTATATATCCAAAAAGACACCTCATAAAAGAGAGATCAGATTGACACTAGGCGGGTATCCTTCTGGGACAAAGATAGCAGAAGAAAACTGGTAACAACCCTTGCTGTTCAGCAGCTGCTGCAGGTGAACGCCAGGCAAGCAGGGCCTGGAGTGAACCTCAGCAGACCTACAGCAGGGGGGCCAGACTGTCAGAAGGAAAACCCAGAAACAGAAATAACCTCATCATCAACAAACAGAATGTCAATCTGAAAGATTTGAGACCCAATCTGAAAGCCAGCAGCTACAAAGTCGACAGGTGGATAAATCCTTAATGATGGGAAGAAACCAGCGCAAAAAGGATGAAAACACCCGAAACCAGAACACCTCTCCTCCTAAAAGGGATCACAACTCCTCACCAGCAAGGGAACAAGGTTGGAGGGAGAACGAGTGTGATGAAATGACAGAATCAGACTTCAGAAGGTGGGTAGTAAGAAACTTCTGTGAACTTAAAGAACATGTTCTAACCAAATGCAAAGAAACTAAGAACATTGAAAAAAGATTTGACGAAATGCTAACAAGAATGGACAAAATAGAA